GGTGTGCTGGTGTGGATACTGTGAGTTTTGTTTATCTTTTGGTCTGGTTCGAATTAAAATGCTGATCTTGCTTGTTTGGCAAACAGGGTTGTGCATCTTGCAGGTATATGGTTCTTCAAGAAGGGGTTTCTCCTTACTCGCATGGTCTTGGAAGACAAATCATCATGCGATGTGCTCCCCCTGGATGATTCGGCCTCGCTGAGCAAGACCCGTGATGGTTGTTGGCACGACAAGTCCTTCGACAAGGCTGTTGTCATCATTATAGATGCTCTGCGCTATGATTTTACAGTGCCATTCGCCCCGAAGGACGAAAGTGAATCTGCCCATCTGTTTCATGATAATATCCCCGTTCTCTATGAGACTGCAGTGAACAATCCTGCGAATGCGTTTCTCTTGCCTTTCATTGCAGACCCGCCGACTACGACCCTGCAACGACTCAAGGGATTGACCACGGGCACTTTGCCCACGTTCCTCGATGCCGGCTCCAACTTTGCTGGAAGTGCCATTGATGAAGACAACTTGGTTGCCCAGCTGCGCAACGCTGGAAAGAACCTGGTCCAGCTTGGTGACGATACCTGGCACGCTTTGTTCCCTGGTTACTTCGATGCGAACCTCACCCACGCCTACGATTCGTTCAATGTCTGGGATTTGCACACTGTCGATAACGGAGTCACAGAGCATCTCTTCCCGCTTCTTCGTGCCGAAAATAGGACAAAATGGGATGTCATCTTTGGCCATTACCTCGGCGTCGATCATGCGGGCCACCGTTACGGTCCGAACCATGCCGCAATGGCTGCAAAGCTGCAGGAAATGGACCGCGTCATTCGCGATGTCATCGCTGCACTGGACGATAATACTCTTTTGGTGGTTATGGGTGACCACGGCATGGATATCAAGGGCGACCACGGAGGCGAGTCAGATGACGAAGTCGAAGCCGCTTTGTGGATGTACTCCAAGAAGGGAATCTTTGGACGTACGACAAAGGATACTTTGCTACCGCCCAAGCACGCTCGCGAACGCTTCGTGCCGCAGATCGATCTCGTTCCGACTCTGTCACTGCTTCTGGGAATGCCGATCCCCTTCAACAACCTCGGATCTCCCATTGAGGAGGCATTCGCAGGATCCAAGGGGAATGACTTCGCGAACTTGTTGGCGGTTAACCGGTTGACCTCGGCTCAAATTAAGAGGTATCAGCACCAGTATATGATTGCTCGAGGTGCGGGTGAGGATGCCGAGTCCATGGCTTTGTGGGCTGCCGCGGAAGACGAATGGAATATAGCCTCGAAGTCTAAGACCGCGGCTGTGCGTTCCAGCTATGATTTATACCGGAAGTATCAGCGCCATACGCTGGAGATTTGTCGTGGATTGTGGGCCCGATTTGATGTGCCTAGCATGATCCAGGGCATTGCGATTTCGTTTGTTGGGATCGCTCTCCTTGTGTTCTATGCCCGAGGCTTGAAAGGTGACCGAACGGAACTCACCCCTCGCCTTCTTACGCTTGTGGGCGTGGGATCTGGAGTGGGTGCTGCGGCTGGCGCTGCTTCGGTTTTGTTCGCGCTCACGGACATGCCCATTGTTGAAGCGTCTGCGCTGCTGGGGACGACTGGGAGTCTCCTAGGTGCTTCGGTCGCAATCTTCAAAGAATCCTCGAACCTGACCTTGCCTCTTCCGAATGGCATGTGGGGATGGCTCGCCGTCTTCTTCACTGTTTCTCAATCGATTGGGTTCGCTTCCAACTCGTACACGATCTGGGAAGATGATATTCTGCTGTTCTTCCTCACAACCTTTGGCGTATGTGCGGGCATCTCATCCATGCGGCAGAAGGCGACTACAGACCGGGTCCTGGGCGTGTATCATTCGATTCTGTTCGTCATTCTTGGCCGGCTCGCTTCATTCTCCCGCCTCTGCCGTGAGGAGCAGATGCCCTTCTGTGTCTCGACCTACTACTCATCCGCAACGTCCTCCATCTCTGCACCCTGGCAACTTGCAATTCCATTTATGGTGACCCTGTTCCTCCCCGGGGTCGTACGGTCCTACTATGCCGGATCCAAGTCCTATGAAGGTGCCGCTACCCTGTGGATTGGCTTTGCCTTCCGTCTGGGTCTCTTGGTCACTTCAATGTTTTGGATACTCGAAGCTGCCGACGACGGCGAGTGGCTCCCTCTGCGCAAAGAAACATTGAAAACCGTTCGGGTATTCCTAGCACAGCTCGTGCTTGCACTGGCCTTTGGGGCCGGCACAGGCGCGTACCTCTACTCCAAGCCCTGTGTCAGTATCAGCGTGAGCAAACCCCAAGACGATCCCAATGCTCCTCCTGCGCCTATCATCGCCGGCCAGCAACAACAACCCCGAACAACCCTCACGATCCTTGGCTTCGGCAATGTACATGGCACGCGCTTCTTCTTCCTGGTGATCAACTTCGCACTCGCCATCATCCTCATGCAAAAACCAATGGGTCAGGGTGCCGTCGCCCTCCTCGTCTGGCAGATCCTGTCTCTGCTGGAAATCCTCGACACCAACGCCCTAACCTTGACCAACTCAGCCATCGGCCCCGTCGTCCTAGGCCTGCTGGGGTCCTTCTACTTCTTCAAAACAGGCCACCAGGCCGTCCTCTCCAGCATCCAGTGGGAAACGGCATTCATCCCTCTCTCCACCATCAAGTATCCCTGGTCACCACTTGTGGTTATCCTCAACACCTTCGGCGCCCAGATCCTGGTCGCCATCGCTGTCCCGCTCACCGTGCTATGGAAACGGCCCCTCCAGACCCACGATCGCGTCTCACAGCCATCATCCCCATCAGCCAAACTAATTAACCCTGCGGCGAAGATGCTCTCGGACGTTGTGCAGGCTGCTACTTCCCACATCCTCTACCTAGCTACCATCAATCTCGCTACTACCATGTGGGCGGGCCATCTCCGCCGCCATCTCATGCTCTACCGCATCTTCAACCCCCGTTTCATGATGGGTGCGGGTGTTTTGGCCGTTGTGGATGTGGTCCTCATCTTGTTTGCTGTCGCTGGTGTGCGGTGGAGCACTGTGAGCGTCGGCGAGATTTTTGGGTGGTGAGATGTCTGGAGTCTCCGTTGCTCTACCATAGACCATATCCCTGTACATTGTGTCTTCGTTATTTTGTGTCAGTCCTTGGTTAGATAGATTGAATCCAGATAATCCTTGATCAGCTCATTGGAGATGCCAGCCTGATACACCGGACAAAGATAGGGTTGCTCTCAACTCTGTAGTGATAGACGTAGAAAAACTTGCTGAGTGAAGGGTGAAAGGTGTGGTCTGTATGTTGTCTAAAACTAGCACTCTATGCCGTGTAGCCCACTCTCCAGTATGTACTTTAATGGCACAGGAAAGCTCTTATGTTCGATAGTCGATTTATTGCGGAGTGCTCCCTAGAAGGGCTGGAAATGCGATTAGCTCTTGCAATTTGCCTCCCACTCCTTTCGTGAAGATAGGAGTCAGGAAGAACACAAATCCTTTTGTCAAATAATTTACAGGGGCCTCCGATCCTTCTAGAAGATCTCTCCCATCGAATGGTCTACAGATACTAAGATGTCGGGGCGGGGCGTGAGGCGGGGGCGGGCCTGAAGGAAGATCTCCGCGAAGTTTCATGTTGATCGTCTTCGCCATGAACCAACAGAGAAATCGAGAAGGCATCTATAAAATTAGAATACGGTGGGAATTGGAAATTTTAATGAACAGAGTCTTAAAGCATGCGTTTTGAATGCGAAACCTTCATTCTCTTCATTGGTTAGGCCCTGATCATTCCTCATGTTGTTACATGTAGCCTCAGGCTCCTAATTTATACCCCACCCATATTCCTCAGCCCCAAGGTTTTCAGCCCCAGGAAGGATGGGATCTGAGCTCATAGGTTGCCACTACTGAGCCGCCGCGCTACCTACACTGATACTTAGCTTCGCAGATATAATATTCCGCGAGAGAGCGAGATAGGCATCTAACTCGGCTACACATTGGATTGTTACTCATAGAAAAGGAATTTCGAGGCACTCACGGAATAGGACGCGAATTCTAATCATAAAAAATAAGATTATCATTTTCGCCTCATGTTCAAGCTGGGTGGCCAACTCCTTTACGGAGACAGGATCGGTTTGTTGGGTGGCTCGGGCGATCCTCGTAGGCTTCTGTCCATACATTTTCATCTCATGTTTTTATAAGTAGCCCCAGACGTTCTCTCAGGAGGGTCCAGATATTCAACTCAACCTGCTCAAAGTTCATATTCCCATCAACCATCCAGACTACAACCATCCCAGAACAACAATGCGTTTCCAAAACCCGCTTCTTGTTCTTGGCCTCTCAGTTCCCCTAGCACTCTGCCAGGGCGGCATTGTCACGATCCAACTCGAAGGTGATCGCTGTGTCTTTCAAGGAGTAGTACCGGGCTGCACGGAGACCACCGGGCCATTCGCTATAGCTAACGGCAACGACTGTTCTGGTAAGTTCTGATATATCCTACCAGGATACACACGCTAGTTAGAATGTCGGCGCTAATTTGACCTCCTTCACAGATGTAAATAATGGCTCACAGGCCCTTTGTGGCAAGAATGCAGATGGTTGGAACAACCAAGTGATCAACATGTACGGCGATGACCATAGGCACATCAGTTTCGCTGGCGGGTGGTGCTGGCTTCCGAAACTGGAGGAGGGCGCTTCGTGTACCGTTCCTGCGCCGCATTCCTCTAGTACGGGAATGTCGTCTAGTACGGCATTGCCTTCCACCACACTGGCCGCGCGCCGCAGAAGGGAGGTTTGAGGTCTTTGAGAAGAGCTTTGAATGGAATAAGGAGCCTGCAGTGCTTCCATCCTTCTGAATGAGGGCTAATGAAGTTGTTGTTTCACACCACATCCTACGCATTTCAAATTTTTTTTTTCCAGGCCGGATCCTGATGTGTATATATATCGGTGCACTAGTATGCCATACTTATGTAGCCAATAGTCGCTCTAAAAGAAACTTTTATCTGCCTAATATTCCCTTCTCAAACCGCTGGCAATATTTTGAGATCATTACTGACACTAAATTTGTGCGTATCCCCTGCAACATCGAGCGAGACATCCCATTTAACCCAATTGCTGTGCCTGATATTATACGTCACAAAATCGGGATGAAGATTCAGCACCGACGCAAGGCACCTCTCACGGGCCCAAAGCCCGCTCGAACAAAGCACTGGCTGGAGCAGGTCGCCGATATTGAGGAATTCGCTTTCCGGGTCAGAGATGAGGGTGATGGGAGACTCGAGATCGTCGAAGGCTTTTTCGAGACAGAGGTGAATGGTTACACGGCGCGAGTTATAATGTACATGCTTGCTGCTGAAGTTTCCCGGCGCCATGAACATCGTCGTGGATTTGATCGTCATCTTCACCCAATTGAGGTGGAATATCTGGGGGCGATCGTGGACGTTTTCGCTTGTGTTGGTCTGTTCGGGGACAATGCGTAGACTAAATGGGATTGGGGTTGGGTCGTCGAGTTGGAGAGCTCGCGGCGAAAGCACCTCAACTTTGTAGTGGAATTGAGGCCCCGTGCATAAGCGCAGGAACTTCTGGGTCTTTTGTTTGAGTGTTAGGTCTTCATCCTCCATCCTAGACAGACGCCGCTGGCTCTGGACCTTGAGAGGCATTGTATTTTGCTGAATATCCGGATCCAGAATGGCGCTGGTGGAAGCGTGTCGCAAGGTGATGGGGTACGTAGTCCTAGCCGCTTCCCATGTACCACTGCGACTATACCGTAGCTCGGCCTCGAGGAAATACTCCACGAACCCCTCAGTGTTAGGAACACGACCAGAGCCATACCCATGAAAGGAGCCCGGCAAACAGTGGCGGGACACATTCTCATCGTCGAGCGGGAGAAAGCTCTCTTTCTCCGAATGACTCTGCAGGAACGAAGCTTCGGGTCCGGTAGGAATTGCGACGGAGAACGGCCATGAAACGCTATTCTCACCTTCTGCGAGGTGGAGCGGCCCCTTATAAACAGTGCAGGGTTTCTCGTCTAGCAGTTGCCAGCGGCCTCGAAAGCTCTCTTTATGGTGAGAGCGCCGAACGACGACTTTTGTTTTCACGCGCCCTTTCAGCACAATGGTCACCGTGGCCTGCGGAGCGAGGACTTTGGAGTGCCGCACCACATTGCCGATAATGGTATTCCCGGCGGCGAAGGACCAACCGCGAGGAGCTGCCAGCTCGATCTCGAGGGTATCGCGGCTATTCCCGATTGTCCGCGGCATGGCCAGTCCCTAAGTTGTGTCGAAACCCGCAAGCATGAGGAAGTGTAGGTGTGTATTATCAGCGCAGGTGGGAAGAAATTGGCTTAGGCATTGGGTCTCTCAGCAGAAGCAGAAAAGAAATAAAAGACTGGGAAGCCTGTACACGCCACACGGGAGCGCCCGACGCCCACCGGAGCGATGACGCTATCCAGGTTGTATTGGTTGGGGGTTTGTCGATCAGGAAGGGTCCTTTCGCTTTACTACCATATCAGAGGGCAGGAGTAGTAACCCCCTGAATCAATAATGCTAGTTCGTGTGTCGAAAACCAGTTTTAAGGTCCCTTCATCAGGCTGACTAAAGTTGATCAATGCATGGCTAGTTGACATGGATGTCCGTGTGGCGGGGAATTGATATTGGCCCCAGACACTAGTACTCGGGCGTCCATGCATCATCCCCATGGGGCGCAAGTTCTCATTGTACAATGTTTTTCATTTTTCATCAGCTAGAGCAAGATAAGATAGAAAAGTAACACCCTGACTAGGATAGATAGGTGGATAACCGCTGAACATAAGAGATAATTGGAGCAAGGCAAAACGACAAACTTTTGGGGCAGAAGGGGGTATTCACAAACGCTGCCATGGCGCATCGAAATCAAAACACTTTGATGTACATGAAAGTCGTCACTGGGGTAGAAAGGTTGGGTCGTTGCACAAAGTTTCTGTCGTTTTCGGGGGAGGGAACGGGACGGGAAATGTTGAGAAAAAGAGAGGGAGAGGAGAGGATGGGCGTTCTAGAGAGAGAAAGACGCAGAAGACGGTTTTCTCCGGCCACAAGTCCGGATTAACGACTCCAGCGAGAGAAATCCAGATTTTGGAGGATATTGGTATCAGCGGCTGCATTCCAGTCCGCAGCCAGATCCGGGCGCGCGGGAGCAGTGCGAGCAGTAGGCACCTCTTCCGAGAAGATATTAGGCTTTGTATTCCGGCGCTGGCCTGGATAAGCACCCTCAGCGGCATCAGTGCCCTGCGCTTGCGTTGCCAGAGCTCGCTCGCGGACCTTCTTAATCTCACGGAGACGGGTGCGCCAGGACGAAGTATGCTCGCCGCCTTTGATATTCCAGACGAGCGAGAAGACAGATGCGTTCAGGGCGAGGATGCGCACGAATGAGGCTAGGTTCTTGCCGGAGATGACCTTGGGCGTTGCGGCGGGTGACACGCTGGGGAAGCCGGGCTTGCTCATGACTTGGACGTTGTAATAGAGCTTTTCGGGGTTGGTTTCGCCCTTTGCTCCGGATTCGGTGTAGGCAATGCGGCAGGCTGGGGTGATGATGATGTTGATGGAATTGAACTCGGATGGGATCGTGTCGAAGTTGAAGGGTAGATTGGATCGGTTGAAGACGATGGTGACGTGGTTGTTTCCGATGTTGCGTTTCTTGTTGATGCAGTTCGGGTCGCGCTCGAGGTCCGTCGGCATCATCGTTGCGACATGGTATACAATCTCCGTCACTCGGTCTCGCCACGCGTATGTGGCTTCTCCATCAGTGTCGGCGTAAAGGCCTTGGGTATTGAACTGCGCATTTCGAAGCGAGACCTTCGCTCCGAGACCTGACAAAAAGTGCTCATAGTCTGTGCTGCCGCCAGTATTGGCCAGAATCTCCGTCTCATTGGTCTGTCCGTTATCAACATAGACTACTCCGATGCGGTGTCCGTCCACGATGTCGGTTCGGTCGAAGTTACCAATAGCACGTCGAGTTATGTCGTCCTCAGGCACTGGGATGGGTTGGACCACTGTAGGCGTAGGGAAGGCCGTAGCGGTCAACTGGAGCATGACGTGACTGGGAAGAATAGCCGTGCGCATGGCATCTGAATGCAAATGCGCATCTGGGGTCGGAGGCACTTGGTGAGGCAGGACTGGTGCCGTTCGCTGCTGGTAGACAGCATACGTTGTGCCCGAGGCCTGGCGCTTGGTGATCTGGGTCAAGCCCGTCACACCTGCGGTCTCCATCGTAACGATACTCATTCCCACGACCCATGACTTTTTCGAAACGGGTCCATCAGAGGGAGATGGAGGGAAAGTCTCGAAGGGAATGGTCTCTCCCAGATCGGAGAATGCCACACGTTGCATCAGGTCGATGATCACTTGGCACTGCTCCTCAACCACCTCTTGGCCTTGGTCGTCGTGGAAAATAAGTCTGCTGGTGAGCCAATTGACGTGCTTGGGCCGATCTTGGAGCTTCAGCGACAGGAACCAGAAGACCATGACATGGTAGGTCAGATTGTTGATATATTTCGACATGCCATCCTGGGGAGCAGTTTCGGCCGCCTCGGCTTGCTGCGAGGCAATTTCTTTGACACCGCCACTCAATCTCGTTTGAGGCGTTCGGCCAGTGGGAGAATCGGATACTTTATACCGGTGTTCTCGGGAAGTCTGCAAGAACCGAATGCAGATGCCAAACACGGTGCGAATTTCCTCCTCACGCAAATTGACATAAACATCAGGAAGTCGGGCGAGCAGCGCCAAGAACTCCAGGATATGCACGGCAACATTGGACATGGTAATAACCTTGGCCATCCTGTCCAGGATGCTGGTTAAAGACTTTGTAACCGAAAGAGGAATCTCGTGGCAGCAGAGTGAAAGGGCCTGGATACATCCACGAGACGTGGCACCCCATGACCCGATAATGCCCAGCATGAAGGCCCGGACAAGGTCATCCTCTTCGCTCTTTGCAAAGTGCTCATGATAACTGATCAACATGCAAAGCGAGTCGAAAATGCAGGCCGCCACATCACTCTTCTTGATACCTGTATGCGCCGGAGGCTCGTGGAAAGTCTCGTTCTTCACTTGGTCGCACAGAATGCTGCGAAGCAATTTGATTTGTGGGATAGCATTGTTGAACAAGTCCCTGTTGCTAAGCTGGGGTCCCACATGAGTGAGAACGTAGCTGTAGACATCCCAGTCGGTCTCCCGTTGCAGCAGCGAGATAATAATCTCAAGCCACATGTTGATCTTCAAAACGGCCCTCTGCGCGGAGACTGACTCAGGTGGTTGCGATGCATCGTCTGCCGGGGCGTATACATGCACAAAGGGACTGGGTCCGTCAGGCGGCTGTTCAGGAAGTACCTGCGGCAAGGCGTACGTCCAGACTGGAGGCGTGGGTTTTGACGCACGACCAGATAGACTCCCGCTACGTCCCAGGCCAGGTTTAGAGATGGTTGGAACAGTATTTTCTTTGATGGGAAGCTTCGTGCTTGGGGTAGCTGGCACGGCGTCATGCTGATGATGTTCTTTGACGGGGCTGTCGACGGGGACCTGCGGATTGGTATCCATACCAATGCTTCGGCCCAGCGCATTGATCAGGAAGTCATTCTCCGATGTCGAGGTGACAATGACCGATCCAGCCGAATCGCATCGCAGTCGAAATAGGAGCTTGAGCGCCGTTAGCCGGGAATCAACAGGGCGATCTGAAGACTGGGCAATGTGCAAAAGTGCCTCGAAAACCAGGATCGTCTTTGTTGCAGAGTGATTCAAGGCGCGTAGCATCATCTTCACCAGACCCACGGCACACACATTGGCCAGCGTCAGTTCCACAGCACTGGCAGACGTACGGCGGGGCGGAGATGCGTAACTGGGAGATACCACTTCGCGTGGTTCATGTTTGCGTACATCATGCTTCATGGGCACACTCATCGTGGTCACCAGTGTTTTGAAGGTCTCGTCATCACTGGATTGAACTGCCGAGTCGGCAAGGAAAGAGACCAGCGACTCCAGGAACAAGAAGTCGTCCTCGGAGGAGAAGTCTACCAGCAAAAGCTCAAAAAGCCCGTGCTCTTGACCGAAGAGCAACTTCTCGTTGCCGGACAGGGCTTCCTTGAGCGTATCCAAAGCCAGAATACGAACATCCGAAGTCTGTTTCCGCGACGAGACGAACCGGGTGATCAAGTCTTGACAGTGGCGGACCCAAGCAGAATCCTCGCATGGGTAACACAGCTTGTCCTCTCGCATGGAATTGATGATCAGTTCGGCCTGAGTCGGTTCAACATGCTGATAGGCCTTCGTGAGAAACTGCACGGCAAGTTGTTTCTGCTCTTTGCCCATCCGCTCCCACAGAAATTCGAGAACAGATGCGATCCGAATGAGGTTTGCGAGAATGCTGGACTTGGTATCATCATGTATAGAGCCTTTGTGGAACTGAGGCTGTGGTAGGCTTGCTGCAACGGGCGGTTCTTCCTTTTCATCCATCACTCTTCGAGAGCAGAGGATGAGAAGGCCGATGAAGGCTTTCCAGTTCCGCTCTAGAGCAACGCGCACATAGTCTCCCTCTAGGATATTTAAACACAAGTCCAGTATATCGGCATCCACGCGACCATCGTCCTTCTGGGCAACGACTTTAAGCGAATCGATCAATTGGTCAAACGGCAGTTGGGGCATGCCATCCTGGCCATAAGCACGGATGAGGTCCGAGAAGACGTAGAGAGTGCCACGTAGGACATTCAGATTCCGACCCTGTTCGGGAGCAGAGGACTCTGTCAGGAAAGTGTGGAGCATATTCACCATCTCAGCCTGCCGTCGAGATTTGGCGAGACTGCGCACCGCTCGAGAAGTTGGACCAGACAGAGATTTGACCGATGCATGTATGCTGCACAGAACCTCCAGCAATGTATCGAAGCTTGCGTCGGGCACATCGGCATACATGATGACGGCATCGAATACAGCCAGCGAGTTCTTGATGTCGCCAGCGACGCTGGTTTTCTTGCAGATGGTGAACGTCTCGTTCAACAACGATTCAATCTCCTCCGGGGTTGGTGGTCTGCGTTGCAAGGTGATTAGGTCGACTGCAAACTGGAACAGATCTCCGAAAACTGCCTCATCGTGGCTAAGACCGTCTGGCTTCTTCCCTTTCTTCGCCTTGGAACGTCCGGCCGCAATGGAGGTATAGAGAGGTACAATCCACGAGGAGATGATGTGCATGATGGAAGAACTGGTGAAATCGAGCTTTCTCCCATGATCCGATAGCGAGATTAAGGCCTGGGCTCGGGAAGCGACGACGTCAGCCTCGGAAGGACAAGCGATCGACTCGAATATCAAGCGCCGAGCCGCGGGCGACAGATCCTGGCGAGCCGCAATGGTCTCCAGCAACCTAGCGCCACTTTTCTGGGCCTCCGGAGAGCTATCGTGACGCAGGAGATACTCCGCAGCTTCCCACAGCACCACTGACTGATCGGCCGTAAACCACTGCAAAGACCTCGACAAAAGATCCGCCTCTTCAATCGCCTGCGTCACATTCTGTTTCTGCGAGAGGTTCCTTAGCGAGGTATCGAAATCCGGGCCACCAGGAGTGTCCGAGGAACTGGACACGACGCTGCCACGATGCATTGATTCAAGTCCTAGTACAAGCCGGTTGCTACCTCGGGGTCCATCGGTCGTATGCGACAGGGAGTCACTGCTGCTTTCCTGTATGGAGACGGGGGAGTGGGATTTCGGACGGACGACACCTAGCGTCTTGAAGACATCGGCGAAACTGGATGAGGAGGGCTTATGTTGGGGTGCTGGTGGTGGAGGAACATCGTCGGAAGACATCCGCTTGGCCGAAAGCGCTGAATGGCAGACAGAGAGGGGAAAACTGATGCCTATTGGATGTGCCGGGCGCATTAGTCGTGGAATCATAATCATCTTGCATCACTCGCTGGCCAAATGACCAAGCCATCAGGGGCTATACGGTACATACCTTTGAAATATCACTCAAGAGAGCATTTCACCGCATGGGCAGCTCCTATAGGTATAACGTCCACATTCAGAGGTGGCGAAAGGGAGGCCGGCGAGGTGTGCAAGAGGCTGCACTAGAGATTGATATCACAGCAGGAAACAGCTGCACAACGGGTACCCGGTGGGTGAGTGGAGATTTAAAGAGTAAGTGAGGGCCGCAAGAGGGTAAGTCTTCGTGTGAGAGTGGCGACAAAGAGAAAGCGATAAGGACTGGGTTCTTGCGGGGGAATCTCACGGGCGATGACAGAGGGGCTGAATGAATGCTCAGAATCGCATATTCTCCCGGAATTGAGGTTATTCCAGCCCCAGGCAGTCTGATATGATAGGCTGCAGTCGTCACCGCCTATCATATCGCCCGGCAGATTTCAACAATTCACAGCGGGGGGCGGTGGAGTCATGGACAGCATGAAAACGGAAACAATATCCACTGAAGATCGTAGTGTCATTGGTTTATCGCATGGTAACCTTCACTACACAGCCGGACATAACTATAATGGGTAGTTGCGGAGATTCCTCTATGCTATTATAATACATGATAAAGTACATGGTTGATCCGATCCAGCCCAAATCCGGTCTATACGCTGCGGTATGCATGGCAGAAAAGAATCCAATCAAGTAGACGAGGAAGTTACTGGCAAGCCCTGCTGCTCGGCGCGGCGAATAGCCGTAGCAAAAAGCTCCTTACAGGGCACTCGACTGCCCAGACGAGCACAGAGCAAGAAGGCACCACTCAGCTTGCGGTGGAGACTGTACGTCTCCTCGGGCGGGGGCGCAAGGCGCTCACGGATCATCAGTGGGATCAGGTCACGTACGCGGTCGGTGATGGTCTGATTCCGGAAGTCGTAGAGGTCCGGGGAGGATTGCATGAAGGGCTCGGCGATGGTGAGGATGGAGGAGACGTGGGCGTCGGCCATGGCCGTGGATTCGAGGCCGGTGAGGTAGCCTAATTCGACGGAGAGGTCGTGGCAGGCAGCGCGGTCGTTGCGGGCGGCTGCAACGAGGGTGCGCACGTAGGTGGTGATGAACTCGGTGGGGAACTCGCGCGAGGCCCCGAAGTCGAGCAGCTCGATGCGGTTGGTGGTGGCATTGTACAAAAAGTTGGTCCAGTTGGGGTCCGTCTGCATGTAGTGGAATTCGGTGATCTCGCGAAGACACAGTCGCATGATCTGGGTGCCAATCCAGTCGCGCTGCTCCTGAGAGAAATTCTGGACCTTGGTGACAGCGACGCCCTCCAGCATCTCCATCGTCAATACGTGCTTGCCCGACGCCTCGAGCATGATCTCGGGAACCACGAAGACAGGGTCGTCGCGAAGGAGCTCGCGGAAGCGCTGGGCGCCGGCCGCTTCGCGGACGTAGTCGCATTCCCAGGCAAGCTCAGTTCGCGCATTGGCAATCGTCTTGTCGAGATACAGGCCTCGCGGAAGAAGACGGGATGCTGTGAGAAGAATGGACAAGTTATTTAGATCGGAATCGATCGAGTCGGCGACTCCTGGGTATTGCACCTTGACTGCCACCGGTTTGCCCGTGCTTTTGAGGACGGCAGAATGCACTTGACCGATTGAGGCGGCCGCCATAGGAACTTCGTTGAAGCTGGTATACAGGTCCCGCCAGTTGGGGCCAAGGTTGTCGGCCAGGACCTTGTCTCGTTGGGAGGCGGGCATGTAGTCAGCCCGGTCTTGCACACGCTGAAGGACCTGGGCGATCGGCTCGGGCAACATTTTCGAATCTATAACATATCAGCAACCGCAGATCCCGTTATAAACGGTTACAAAACGCACCTTGAAAGCTCAGCATCTGGCCCAGCTTCAAAGCGGCGCCTCGCATCTTGGACAGTTTGCCCACCAGCCGTTCCATATTACCGGCGCTGAACATGATGGATCCACTGTCCTGGCTACCGGTAGCGCGGCGAACAGTCTCACCGACAGCCCCAAATGCCATTGAGGTCGCCAGCCCGCCATACTGCCACAGCCTAGCTAGTCGCGACGAGGGTACACGGGATTCCATCATCTGGTAGGGTACGTCCTTGTTCACATCGACAACCACTTCTGAGGTGGGCGTGATATCCTCTGCAATGCTAGCCCCCAGCTTCTCCATTTCTTCCACCTCCGCATGCGCCTTAACTTCCGTCTGAGCGCTGGGAGGGGTGATGGTGGTGGGATTTCCGGCTTGCCGCCAATTTTTGGTCTTCCATGCGGGAATCGACTTCCCGGACAACATGCTCGAGACCTTCGGGCTGTGAAACAAGCCCTGCATCATCTCCTCCGGTAGCTCCTGCTGTTCATTCTGAGCAGCCTGCTTGTCGGGTCCCCCAGCCGAATGGAAGACATCTGCATTGAGGCCATCTGCTACACCCTCTTGGACATCGCCTGTGGCCTTGGGTACCTTGACCCGGGGGAGTGCGGAGAGGCCCGGGGTGGAATGCTGTGAAGGCTCGTAGAAGACATCCTGCTGGTTGCTCACATTCAAAGCATCCGGCTCCTCAGTGCCCTGGTATTCCGCGGCGGAGGCCGGGACCTGGAATTCAGCGCGGCGTTGGAGGATTCGGGCTTGTTCGGAAGGAAGCGAGGTTGCAGATGACGGAGGGCTGGCGGAGTTGGGGGCTACAGGAGCAGAGTCGGCCGACGGGTCGGGCGAGGGCGAGTCTGCCGGCGAACGGGCACCGCTCGGCGGAGGTGGTGGCGAAGAATCATTGACGCGACGGGCGAGGGCGGCAGCCGCCTGCGCGGTTAGGATCAGCCCCTCGGTCTGGTCCTTGATGCCCTTGGTGAGTGACGAGGTACGCGTGTAGCGGTCGAGCTGGTGCTGGCGAATAGCCAGGTGCTTGGCGGCGACATTTTTGGAGACATTCAGGAATTGAATGGCATCGAGCAGACGCCTGCCTGACATGATGTGGAGAAAGGGGAAATTTGGAGAAGTCGGGATGACTATAACGGCATGGTGGGAATAATCATCAGTCGAGTAATGCGAATGAGTAACAAAATTGATAAGAACGAGCCACGGCGGCCTCCGACTCTGCCGATCCCGGCCGGGCGCAATCGGGGCACACGACATTGATCGATAGATAAGAACAAAACACTCTTCCTCTCGTCCTCTGTTTTCTCTCCTCGACACAGTCACTTCTCACAATAATGCTGCCCAACGAAACACCCCATGACCTGCACGTAGAGGCGGCCCAGCTCGAGGCCCGTCTTCAGGACATCCGGGCGCGTCTGGCCGCCGACTTCTATCCCAGCCCACCGGCATCCCATCCCGATAACAAGACTCCCTGGAGTGCGTCCCAGGGTGAGTAGAACTGGACATTTCCTGTTTTGAATGGAGCTAACATCTCTCAGGCCTAGACACATATAACAATCATCTCAATAATAAATTCCAATCGGACTCCGTGCGCTCCTCCTCACTCCACGCTCTCCTACTTCTCTCCGACTCCGCCCTCCCACTGGGCTCCTTTGCCTACTCCAGCGGGCTGGAGTCCTACCTGGCACACAACAAACCCCGACGCACACACACCGTTTCCTCCTTCCACCGCTTCCTCCGCCTCTCCATCGCCTCCATCTGCAGCACCTCCGTCCCCTACGTGCTCGCTGGCTACCGCCAGCCCTCGACCCTCGAAACTCTTGATAACGACCTCGACGCGTCGACGCCCTGCATCGTTGCGCAGCGCGCGAGTGTCGCGCAAGGCCGCGCCTTGCTTGGTGTGTGGGAGCGTGCGTTCCGGGGGAGCTTCGCTGGTTCGGAGCAAACCCATAATAATGATAATGAGGACGCCGATGCCGGCGCCGCGGTGGGTGCTATCGACGGCTTCTCGGAGGCATTGAAGTCTTCCGGATTTGATGATGCGGACGATCTCGGTCCCAAGGGGCACTTTGCGCCGCTTTGGGGGGTAGTCTGTCGGGCGATGGGTCTGGATTTGCAGCAGGCAGCCTATGTCTTTGTGTTGAATCATGCCAAAGCCGTTCTCAGTGCGGCGGTGCGCGCCTCGGTCATGGGACCGTATCAGGCGCAGAGTGTGCTGGCGAGCCAGAGTCTGCAGGATACCATTATGAAGCGTATTCGGCGTGAGTGGCATACGGAGGTGGAACAGGCTGGACAGGTTGTCCCGGCACTGGATCTGTGGGTTGGACGTCACGAGTTATTGTATAGTAGAATCTTCAATTCATAAAGACAGGCCTTTTGGGGTCCATTGCATTCCATTCATCGAGTTCCTTTGCTTCTCAACGCGTAGTACTCCTACATGACACAAAGATCTCAAAACGCCAATATGAACGGACAAGTCGAGTGCGCCGGCCAGTGAGAAGTGCATCCATCCGCCAGCTCGACGACCAAATCCCGCCATCCCGCTTTTGGTCAGAATGCCACTGCATGAAAGACAAAAAGAAAAAAAGGAGCCTCCGAATGCAACAAAGCCAGGGCATAAGCCATAAACGCCGCCTCCTGAGACATCCTGTCCGACGAAAACCAGTCACAAAACACCGCTCCATGAGCCTTTCCGAAGGTAATCCAGAAGAGATAAAACAAAAAAATGTGGGGAGAAAAGCGCAGAAAAAAGTAAACAAAGGGTCTATGGTACACGAAGCGAAGTTTTTGATCAAATCAAAGGGTAACGTGCATGTAGTCGTTAGCGCCGAAAGACCGGCTGCAGTTGGGACACTTGCGCGAGCGCGAGGTGAGACGCTCCTCGACGCAGTCCTTGCAGAACACATGGCCACAAGTCTTGATTGCAGTGTTCTTGAAATTCCGACGACAGACCGTGCACAGCGCGAGTGTCTAAATGACTCGAGTTAGTATATCGAAACACAATAGCAAGTGAATACTTACCCGCAGCATTTCGTATTCAGAGGATGAATTGCCCAGGCTCTTAGTCTTCCAATTCTCCATGTTTTTCTTGGTATCTGAAAGCGATTGCTTCAAACTCTCAATCTCCGTCTCCGATTGACGCAGAGCAGAAGCAGTGCTTGACAAAGTCGCATCCTTGGAAACCGCCAGGGCCTTGAGATCGGAAACCTGAGCCTTCAGGCCGTCAATCACAATGTTGCTTTCCGTCAGTCGCTGTTCTATGGCTCGATGCGTGTCGATGGCCGATTTCAGAGCCTCCCTGGTCTCACTTGCTTGCTTCTCCAGGTTGGAGACCAAAGAACGTGTTGCTGCTTCCGACTCTTTCAACTGCGAGACAATGTCGGAGGTCTTCGAATTCTGCATTCGAAGAGTGCGGACCTCAACATCCCGGGCCTCTTTGCTCTTCATCGCCGCAAAGTACTTCTGGTCTGCTTTGGACTTCTCTGCTGTCAAGCGCGCCACCTTTTCTTCGAGAGCGCCAAAATCGGTCACTTTCTGCGATGCCAAAGTCGAGAATTTCTTGTAAGCTGTTTGCATGGACGTCAGCTCGGTGTTGAGCATGGAATATTGCCGTTCCAAGCTGGTGTATTTGCCACGCAGCTCCTCGAGAGGCATGTCTCCCACGTTGTCGGCCGGCTTGGAACCTTCCACCTGCAAACGCAGTCGTTCAACTTCCGACTCTAAAGCGGTGATCCGAGCCTCGCGAGCTTCTGCCAACTCTTGTAGTTTGACACCTGCGGTCTTCTCTTGGTCCTGAGCGGCTTTTCGCATCTGTTGATCGGCCAGCAGCTCGTCGCGAGCGTTTCTTATCCGCGCCAAATCCGTTTCGGCCCGTACCAACTGCGCTTCTTTCTCGGCAATCGTCCCCTGAGCCTCTTCGTCGATCTGAATCTTGTACGCAACCCGTTCCGATCGGTACTTCTCGGCTTCCTCGCGCAGTTGTACATTCGTCGCTTCAAGATGGTTGATCCGTTTGACTACATCGTCATGCTGTGATCTTAATTGTTTGAAGAGATCCGTATGCGCGTAATCGTCGTCCGTGAGCTTTGAATACTGCGACAACAGTTAAAGCGAGAACCGATTTTGAGCATACAAGAGCTTACCTTGATTTTGACTTCGGTGATCTGGCCAAGGAGACTGGCATTTTCACTCTCCAGTTTTTGCAGCTGTTCCTTCTGCTTTTCCGATACCGCCGTGAGCCTGCTATTCGCCTCTTCTAACTCAGGATTGCGATCTGGGACAGGGGTCCCCCCATTGACGGGGGATGATTCTTCCCGCTTTGTCTGTGTTCCCTCGGCAGCAGGTTTCTGCTGCCCACCCATGAGAAATTGTTTTTCCAACTTGGCAACTGTCAAGCTCCGCGCGCGGTCGAGTTTCTTCTCGGCGACCATATATCGCAACGAGGCAGCCTCCAGGCTCTCCTCCAGCTGCTGCTTTTCGGCCAGGGCTTTCTCCAGCTCGGATATGGTGACCTTCTCTTCCGCCAGTTTCTTGGCCAGTTGAGTTTGTACCTCTGACACTTCGGGTGGTCCACTAGCTGAGTGGGCTTGCAGCTGAGAAATAATCTCGCGTATATCTTCAGATCGGGATTTCAAATGCTTCTCAAAGCTTTCGACGTCCTCGAACTGTAGCGAGCTCTGGAAGGTGCGCTCTGTCATACTTGTCAGGACCGATTCACGGTCTACTAGTCCAAGACACTGCTCACCTTTACCCTTATCTTGCGCAGAGCCCAAAAGTAATTTCGTTTCGTCGATCAACTTTTCATCGAGTTAGTATGCATTCGTGGGGCAGATGCCGAGAGGACCAACTTACTTGATTGAACCACGCGTCGATCACACGGAGATGGTCATTATGATGCGCCGTATTCTTCGACATCTGATTCAACCGTGACTCCAATGTTGACTTCTCCCGCCTGTACTCGTGCATCTGGCGCAATATCGCATCTTTTTGGTATCGCTGTCGCAAAATGTTGGTCAGCTCCCTCGCTTCATATCGCATGCATAGAATGTCTCGCCTACCTCCAAATCATCTTTCCAGGGCATGTCTGCATCCGGATGAGGCTTGCTGCCACCGTTGACGGTGGTCGCCTGCTTTTTCAGCGGCGGAGCAGAGTCATTGTTATCTTGTGCGGCAGGCCTCTTCCGGTCTTCCATTTTGACAAGACCGGATTCTGAAGACACGACAGGCGATTCGGCGGCCGGCATCAGTGGCTAGGCTGGCATGAGAGGGGGAGGTGTTTGATCACCACCGGGGCCGTCGTCAGTCAGCCAGAGACAAGCACCGCGGCGGTGCCCAATTCTGTCACGGACAAAGAGAGACGAACAGAAGAACTAGATCGGGAGAGAGAAGAAAGGGGGGTTCACAGAAGGAGGTGTGAGAGACAAAAGGGGGGGGTGTGGGATGGGAAATCGAGAGTCGAAGCCAAGGAGGATTTTCGAGTTTAGTCACCTCTGCTGAGTCATGATGGACGACCCAATCGGGCAGTCGACTTTTTCCATTCTGATTCATCTGACAACGATGGGCAGCCATGAAGTCCTTCTCGAGTTCTGCCATCAGTGAGTGGCCTCATTCGCATATAATGCACTGTTCCTGTTCTGACCACGCTTGTTGCAGATAAATCGGGCAAGAAATTCGCCCCCAAGGCACCCGCTCGCCGTGCGGCGCCTGCCTCCACCGCATCCTCGAGGAGACCCAGTGCAACTCAGCACACAGCCCAGGGCCAGGTCGCGCAGGCTGCGCAGCACGAGAACGATGTAGCGGCCACGTTCCCGCGGCGCTCCGTCGAGGCCGAACCCGCAGCGCCCGCTGTTGCTGCAGAGACGGCGACTGTCGAGTCCACTGCCCCTCAAGCAACCGCGGTCGCCTCAACCTCTGCGACGGCCATTCCAATTCCTCGACCAAAACGCAAAGCATCCGTTTCTAAACCAGCTGCTCCCCCAACCACTACGATCTCCCCACCACCAACCCAGCATGTCCCTCCCTCTCCTCCGGCGCCGACCGCCCAACCTCAATCTCAACCCGTCCCTTCTATAGAAACCGACATCAACGATGCTGACATGGACCTTGTGCGCCGCGCCGTTCAAACTTCAAACAACCTCCCTCCTGCATCCGCCGGCGAAGGCTCAGCCTCCGCTCTAAATGACGTCCGCGCAGCGAAACGGGCCAAGAGGACATCGGTGTCTCAACAAGTGGTTCCTTTGATCGAAAGCGCGAGTGCGACGCCAGCCGAATCTGTACCGCCATCCACCCCAGGCTCTAGTCGGACCGCTGCAAAGGGCAAGACACGAAAACCCTCCAAAGTCGGGACTTCAGAAGCGGATGGAGACGCAGAGAAAGCCAAACGCGCTCGTCGCAAGAAGCGCGAGCCTACTCCCGAAGGCGCCGAGATGGTGGAGATTTTGCCGAATGTAATCAAGATGTCGGAGCTCTGCAAGGATCTGAAAACAGGCAAGAAGTCGAAACGGGAGACCGAATTGCGCAAGATGGACTTGACAGAGCAGGAACGGAAGAAAAGGCCACAGGATGGACAGGAAAGTGCCGAGGGGACGCCGATCAAGCAGAATGGCGATGTCGATTCAGCAAACCAAGATCGTCTGCCCGACTTTAAGCCTCAGTCTGGACCCGTGATGCGCATCGTCAACGGCGAGATCGTGCTGGACACTGCGTCGCTGCAGGTGGACCGGCATGCCGATGCCGTACGGAGCGCAGGGGATCTGGAAAACGTGGAGGAAAGCTCGCTTACCCGCAAGATCAACCAGTCCTCGTACGGGAAGCGCTCCAAGACCGAGACTTGGGATGAGGAGATGACGGATCTCTTCTACCGCGGACTGCGCATGTTTGGCACTGACTTCATGGTGATTAGCAAGCTATTCCCCGGCCGATCTCGTCGCCAGATCAAGCTGAAGTTCAACAATGAAGAGCGTCGTGATCCGCTGCGAATCAAGGAAACGCTGCTCGGGCCTCGCGAGTCCATTGACATCGAAACCTACTCGGAAATGACGAAAACCACCTATGATGACCCCAAGGTCATCCAGCAAGAACTGGATGAAGAGAAGAAGCGCATTGAGGAGCAGCACGCCCAGGAGAAGAAGATGCAGGAAGACCTATTCCACAACCCGGAGGGCAACAAAGATTCGAATGCGGCATCTGGTGGCGACAAGGCTAACGGGACTGCTGTCAAGGGCAAGTCGCGCAAGAAGTCCATGATTAAGAATATTGGAGGCGGGACCGAGGAAGTGCTCGGGTCGATTGACGATATCCCTGCGCCTGCTTAGAGGAGGCATTTTATCTGGCGGTTTCAGACGGTACATGGTTTGGGGGTCAGGTTACCTCACGCGGCGTTTGTTTGGGTTCTCACGGATTATGGGACAAATGGGGGTTACGACCAGGAGTTTGTTGGATTAGGGCGCTTTTTTCTGGTGTTTGCTAATGTCCCTTGGGGACTTGCGTGTATAGATGTTCGTTTCTTTGTTTATTAACGAATGCACCTTGCGTTTTCCCATCTCATCGACGTCTAGTCGAACCAAAGCCTGTACTGCTTGACGTGGCCGAGAGCGGCGCCGAAGAACTGCCTTGTCCAGGACCATGTCCGCCAGTGTTGCGATGTCTGTTCCTGGCCAGGTGGAGATCCACGCTGGGATGATTTTGTTGCCCACTGCTGCCATTGGGATATGGCGTGTACGGTGGTGGTGGGTCATCATCATCATCATCATCATCATCTCCTCTACCACCACCACCACCTCCTGCTCCTCCTTGTCCTCCATCTCCCCAAAGGCAAGCCTTAATAAACAACCACCCAATGTAAAACAGCGCGCCAATGGTGAGCGCAACAACAAGGAACCCCACCAGCTCACTCCAAGAAGAATCTCGACGTAAGCGTTCAATCTTCTCGCGATACCTCTCCTGCCCCCTCTCCGTAAGTAGCAACCGATACTCCACGCCACAGCTGCCCTTCAGCACCCACTCATCATCGGCATCCCGGTAGCCCTCACACACGACATCCGTAGCGCCCAACTTGAACTCCGGCGGCAAGGCTGCGTTGCAGGCCCATTGGACATCCTCCTTGTCGTCTCCTGCGTCATTGCCCAGATTCGTGCAGTGCATCTGCTCGACGTGGTAAAGATTACATATTTTGGATGGGCCGGCGCAGTGGAGCTGGGGGATGGCAGGGACGCGGCGGGAGGTGGTTTGGCGGTCTCCGCGCAGGTTGATGGCGTGGACGTTGGAGAGAAGGATGGCATTTTCGCCCGGTGGTGTGTCGGAGAGGGCTAAAGGGGTAAGGAGAGCAAAGAGAAGAGGATGCATGTTGAGGACTTGGTGAAGAGATCGAGAGGAAAGAGGAAAGTGTCCTATAGTCCAACTGATAAGCGATAAGCCCAGCCTGGCCCAACATCCCGAGGCCGAACCATCTTTCCTTTCCCTGCACAGCTCACCTCCAATGGGGATGGATGACGATGGCTCTCCAACAACGTGAGTTGCTTCTCGTCGGTTTCTGTTTGTCCACTATTTAACCAATCTCTAGATGAGCCCGCGCTAGTCCAGCCTCCGTCCTCGTACGTGCTTCCCCTCGATCCGCGTCTTGTCGGTCTGAACGAACTGCTAACGAACACCCACCCCAGCCTGTCATTCACCCAGGGATTCCTCCTCGGGCAGCTGTCAGTAGTCCTTCTGATCGGCGCATTCATCAAGTTCTTCATCTTCGGCGAGCCACCACCACCCCCGTCGCGCGGCCTAGCCACACGCACCACCCACCGCCGGTACAGCTCCGTCTACCAGCCACAAGAAGGAGGCGGGGCAGCAGGAGGCCAAAAAACATTGCGCGAAAAGCCCTCCACGTCCAATGTCCTCCGACCCGTCCCTTCATCTGCGACCAACACCCGCTCCATCCTCCGCAAAACCTATTACAGCGCCATCCCCACCAACCCATCCTCCAAACATGGCCGGCATCGGATGCACCACTCGTCGCACCAGCCCGAGTCGTTGGACTGGTTTAATGTTCTCATCGCCCAGACAATAGCTCAGTACCGGCAGACCGCGTATCTGCTGAAGGACTCGCCCACCTCGTCCATCCTCAAATCCTTGACCGCGGCGATGAACAACCCGGAGAAAAAACCCTCGTTTATTGACAAGATTACCGTCACAGACATATCGCTCGGCGAGGAGTTCCCCATTTTCAGTAATTGTCGCATCATCGCAGTCGATGATCCCAATTCCGATGGTGGGAGGCTGCAGGCTTTGTTGGATGTCGACCTCAGCGATGATAATCTCTCCATTGCGGTTGAAACATCCATGGTCTTGAACTACCCCAAACCGCGATCTGCCATCCTGCCAGTGGCCCTGTCAGTCTCTGTCGTTCGCTTCTCAGGAACGCTATGCATCTCTTTGATTCCAGCATCAACATCCCTACCTACGGACCCGTCCATGTCCCCGGCTCCCCCGACAGACAACAACCAGAGAGGTGATGCGGCCGGTGCCAATTCACCCAATCCCTCCGCAGAGACTGGGAACCCGCAGGATTCCTCGTCCAAAACAGCCAGCCCCAAAAGCAATGTCGCGTTCTCATTCCTCCCAGATTACCGACTAGACCTGTCAGTGCGCTCGCTCATCGGATCCCGCAGCAGACTGCAGGATGTGCCCAAGATAGCCCAGCTCGTGGAAGCCCGCGTGCACGCCTGGTTCGAAGAACGCGTCGTCGAGCCCCGCGTGCAGGTCGTGGGTCTGCCAGACCTGTGGCCGCGGATGGGCCGGACGGGTGTACGGACAGGCGATGAATCTGACGCCGGCTCCTCTGCACCACCACGCAGTGCTGGCTCCGCAGATCTGGGTGTGCCGCCACCGCGGTTCTCGGACGACGCGGAGCTGGAGGGACTGCGCTTCCGGGGACCGTCCGATGCGCGGTTCGGACTGGGCGTTGGCTCGCGGACGAGCAGTTTCAATGTCGATATGGGCGGCCTGCGGAGTTCGAGCATGACCCGGCAGGATAGCAGCGCTGCTCTGAGCGACGAGTTCACTATGCCCGGTGCGATGCCGTCCCCGACGCCGGCAATTTAAGGGGGAACTGTGCAAACGCCAAGTCGTCTTCAATTTGGTGTCACTTCATACAGTGTATACTTGTAACCTAGCCGAATAATGATTTCAAAAGTTCAATTGGTATACGTAGTCTGGGAGAACCACAGTGTTCATATGCATCGTAATGGCTCGAGGGGCTCAGTTCAACCGATGCCATCAATTATAAAAAGAATGAAAATATGTATCAAGCCGAAACCCCCATCCTCTGGCCTCTAATTGACCGCGGTAGCCTTGTTCAGCACGGTATCCACATAAGTCTTACGGTGCAGGTTCGCATCGACGTCAGCGCCACGATTCAGCGGCGTCCACTTGGGCTCATCCTGGAACAGCCGCATAGCCTTGACATACTACAAATCCATCAGTCAACCCATCAAACAAGAAGGGAGTGGGAGTGGGAGCGGCATACATTCTGCTCATTAGTCGTAAACCGATGATAAATGCCCGCCGGGAGAATAATCATGTCGTCCTTAACCAGACAAATGCGAATCCACTCATCCGACTGTCCACGCACATCGAAATACCCCTCCCCCTCGAGGATGTAGCGAATCTCCTCGTCCTCGTGCAGATGCTCGGCGAAGAACATCTTCACTTTGTCTTCGTACACGTCGCCCATCGTCGCGGGCGACACGCAGATCTGGTCGCGGTTCTTGTAGCCGCGCTCCTGGGCGATAACGTCCACGGCTTCGATTGTGGGGCAGTGCTTGTATAGCACGCCCAGGCGGCTGAGGTCGTCTTCTGTGGCTGGGCGGCCGGAATCGTGGGGTTCACGCTGGTCGCCCTGTTCGTCGAGTTAGTCTTGCTGTAATACGTAAATGACGGAACTGTAGCATACCGGCTTGTTGTCGTACCAGTATGCCTTCATGGTGCTGGATTGGAATTCAATGATGGTTGAGGAAGATGGCAGTTGAAAGTTGAATATCGGCGGGGCTACAATTGGATGGCGTTATCGGGTACAGGTCACATGATGACGTGATTTTCTTATCGCCGCGAATGTTTCTTTCTGCTGCGACTGACGAACTTTCCTTCACCATGGCTTCTCGAGCAATGGCAGTACGGCCACTGCTGAAGCAGAGGTACTGGCTGCGCTCAGTACTGGCCTACACGCACCGCGGTCTGGCCACAGTCTCCGATGGCTCACAGTAGGACTTTCCAAACCCCCCTTTTGAAGTACTACTCAACTCACTATTGTATCTCCAAACAGACCATACGACGTCGTCGTGATCGGAGGCGGCCATGCCGGATCAGAAGCATGCGCCGCGGCAGCACGGTCCGGCGCGCGCACGGCTTTGATCACGCCATCGCGATCGAATATCGGCGTCTGCTCATGCAATCCCAGCTTCGGCGGGATCGGGAAAGGCACGATGCTGCGCGAGGTGGATGCCATGGATGGTGTTGCGGGCCGGATTATTGACAAGGCGGGAATTATGTTTCGGATGTTGAATCGCTCCAAGGGGCCGGCAGTTTGGGGACCGCGTGCGCAGATCGATCGTGATCTGTACAAGAACTATATGCTGGAGGAATTGACGAATACTCAGGGATTGAGTATTGTGGAGGGTAAGGTTGCGGATATTGTGGTCTCGAAGGATGGGGGAGAGAATGTCCCTGGGGCGCAGGGTAAGATCGTGGGCGTGCGTTTGGAGTCGGGGGAGGTGATTCCTACCGGACGCGTGGTCATTACGACGGGCACTTTTCTGGGTGGCGAGATCCATATTGGTATGGATGTCTTCCCGTCCGGACGCATGGGTGAGGCACCGACCTACGGACTAAGCAAGTCACTCCGCGACGCTGGCTTTCAGCTAGGTCGTCTGAAGACCGGCACACCGCCCCGGCTGGACATGAAGACGATCGATTTCTCGAACCTGGAAGTGCAAAGAGGAGATTCACCACCACAGCCATTCTCATATCTCAACAACACCGTCCAAGTGGGCGACGAGGGCCAATTGACGTGCTGGATGACCCACACTAACGAAGCATCCCACGAGATCATCCGGGCCAATCTGGACAAATCAGTGCACATTCGCGAGACGGTCCGGGGACCACGGTACTGTCCGTCGCTAGAATCGAAGATCATTCGGTTCAAAGACAAGACCCGGCACCAGATCTGGTTGGAGCCGGAAGGATTTGCGCCCAACGAAGTGATCTACCCGAACGGCATCTCGATGACCGTTCCTGCGGACGCGCAATTTGCCATGCTGCGCACGGTGCGTGGCTTGGAGAACGTCCAGATGCTCCAGCCGGGCTACGGCGTGGAATACGACTACATCGACCCCCGGAATCTTCGGCCAACCCTCGAGACAAAATTGATCAGCGGCCTCTATCTGGCAGGCCAGATCAATGGCACAACGGGCTATGAAGAAGCGGCCGGACAGGGTATCATCGCCGGCACGAACGCCGGGCTGGCGGCGCAAAACCAAAACGCCTTGACCCTCACCCGGTCCGACGGGTTTATAGGCATCATGATCGACGACCTCATCACCAAGGGTGTCTCCGAGCCCTACCGGATGTTCACCACGCGCAGCGAATACCGCATCTCCACGCGCTCCGACAACGCAGACCTACGCCTAACCCGCATGGCCCGCGAGGCCGGCGTCGTCTCAGACAAGCGCTGGCGCCATTTCAGCGACACGGAAACGCAAATCCGAGAACTCCAATCTCTCCTCGCCAGCACAAAACTGTCATCAGTTGCATGGTCCCGCCGGGGCTTCAAGATCCGCGCTGACACCTCCGTCCGCTCAGCACTAGACATGCTCTGTCTTGAAGATGCACAAATCGATTCGCTAATTCCTCACATCGAGTCTGGAGGGCCAACAACATACATGCCCTCCTCCTTCGCACCAGAGATCCGCACGCGCGTCGCCATCGAAGGCCGCTACGCGCCGTATCTCAAGCGCCAGGAAAAGATGGCCCGTCGATTCCAGCAGGACGAGAACCTGTTTCTGCCTGCGGACCTGGATTACAGCTGCATCCCGGGAATTAGCAACGAGGAGCGCCAGGCGCTGGAGCGGGTTCGTCCCGCCAGCGTAGGCATGGCTCGTCGGATCGAAGGTATGACGCCCGCTGGGGCACTGAGGCTGCTGATGCACGTGAGGAAGGGGAATGGGTTTGGTGCGCAGGAATTGGATGGGCGGGATGAGGCAGATAGGGCTGCTGCCGAGGAGGTCCTTCGCTCGTCGCCTTGAATTTTGGTTTTGGGTGGATACTTTTCTTTTCTATTTTTGACATCGTTACTAGCGGGC